ATGAGGTTGATTGTTCTCAGCGTAATGGTCTAATCACAGGCTATACAGTGATTATCAGTAACAGTAGTATCACATACAACCTCACTAGTACTGAGAGACATATCATCATATTAAATGATCTAGTATTTGGTACTGAGTATAACATCAGTGTAGCTGCTGTCAATTCTGTTGGAAGAGGTCCCTTCAGTGATCCTATTGTAGTAGAGATTGGAATAGGTATGTATTTATTATACTATATCAGTTCTGTGAGAATGTGTGTTTATTTAGTACCTGGTCCAGTTGGTTCAGTATCCAGTATCATGGACACTACATGGGCTGTTATCTCATGGAGTGTACCTAGTTATATTCCATCAGACTATCCCATTATCACATATGAGATAGGATATCATATCTTACAGTCTGGTAACTGTTTGATGGTAGATGATGATGACTTTAATACTGAAATATTGCAACTACGTAATTCAACCAATACTTATATTAACATTACTGGTCTTAATGATATGTCTTACTTTATTTTTGGTGTACGTGCATACACTGATAATGGATATGGAGAATGGACAGTTATTACTAATGAAACATTGAAACTACCACTGCAGTCATCATGTAACTGTGATACATCAGACAGTGTTATTGCTCTTAGTGTGTTAGTAGGTATATTGTGTGGTCTACTAACTGTCAGTGTTATTATTAATATCTACTGCTTTATGAGGTAGAGTTCACATATTTAGTATAATAATAATTATTGTTGTTTTTTTATAGAAAGAAATGTCTTTGTACTATTAATAAGGAAACAAAGTTAGTCTATTTTAAAGTTACTTATTAACTAATTATGCTGATAGAGCTGATGACGATATTTCAATGCAAGCATGTGAACCATATGGAATTCACAAGGCAAAACAAAGTGAAGAGAATGAAGGAGTTTATGATGAATGTCAAACATCACCTGAAGATGTTTATGAACGTATGCCACAATAAAAGGAATTAGAGCAACTTAACATAGAGTAACTGTTAAAAGGTTTTTACTAGTTTTAGTGTATCAATTTGTATTATAGTTATACATTACATAGTTTGTGTGAAAAAGAGAACACAACTTTATGAGTGCATTTAATAGTCACAGTGTAGTCTTGTGGATGTGGCACGAGATCTGATTTTAGCAAATTACATGTACTGATCAATCCTCCTATCTTCATTTCTTCTCTATCTAAAAAGAGAGAGAGTATATTAATAGAGAAACTTATACTTACCAAGATTCCATTCCAATCCAGTGGTCCAACATTGATCACATGATTCTCCTAATGGTATTATGCCACAATGGCCTTCAACCAATTCTCAAATGATGCATGTACATATGGTATATGTTGATAAAATTGCTTTAAAATTTGATAAAAGACCTATGCATTTTTTATTTTGATCACTTTTAGATTTTTTGCAATTTTTTAAAATTGTTAATAAATTTGGCCAAAATTTCTGTACTGTACAGAGTCTTTGGCCAAATTTTGCCAAAAATGAAAAGAGAGGATTGTTCTTTTTTATAATTTTCCTGATACATATACATGTTCTAATAGTGTATTTCAATTTTGGACTGATTCCAGTCACATTTGGATTTTTACAAATTTTTAAGTTACTATCAATAATTATGTACAGAAAATCCTGTGTTCTGGACACCTTATCGTTCTGATTATGAAAGTGTTCTAATATCAGATGTTCATTAATACACCTTTATATTGTATTGGACTTTGCTGAGTCCATAAGTATAATCAAACTGAAATGATTTTGTTTCAGAGTCTTCAAGAGGATTTCTCAATGTAATGACCTGTCCACTGTTCCTGATTATGACTGGTGTCTGCTTTTCTATCTCTTCCTGTTTGTATACATCAGTATAGTCTATTAGGAATAATAATGAGATATATATAATGTATATACAACAATAGAAGGATGAGGATATATCAATGGTCTCAACTCTAGCAGTTTTTTTTCACTTCTTCTTCAAATTGACAGTTCTGATCATAATCAGGAAGTCTGATAGGGTCCTAATTCTGATGTGAACTGAAAACATAATGCATGTATTGACTGAGAATCAATACTTAGATGTGCACTGATGGGTTAAGTGAAATGCATTTGTCACAATAAACATGTTATTGTTTTGAATTGTCATAGATCTAACTTATTTTAAGGGAAAGTAAACAAGTTTTAATTGTGACACGCATATACATCTTATGCACTTTCCTTACTTGTAAAAGAAAACTGGCATGTATAGATCTAGTTTTAATTTGTCAAAAAATAACAGCTGTAACAGAGCTATATAATTCTATTCAGTTTATTGTTAAAATGGCATTGTCAGTATTAGGAGTGATTATAGTCTTCTTGTTAAGTGTCAGTGAAGTTATTAGTCAATGTCCACCTTCCTCAGGTAAGACACTGGATGTGTATAATAACAACTGTATAGGTTTTTATAGGTATCTACCTGAGGCATGATGGAAACTGTTATCCTAATGTATCATATTTTTGGGATAATACTGTCAATGCAGCTAATGAAGCTATATCATGTGTGTTACCTGGTACTAGTCTAACTACTGGTCAGTGGGTTAGAGTTGCTGATCCTAATGATGATCCTGTTGACTGTAACAGTAATAGTGACAATGATCCTTTTCGTTGTACTAATGTCACTTCACCTACTGCTATCAATCTTTATCTTGCTCAGGGACTACCAGCAGCTCAAGAAGGCTGGTACAAGTGTTGTCTACCCACTGATTGTTCAGATCCTAACACTAACATCATCTTTGCTAATATATTCAGTAAGAGGAGACTATAATCACTTACTGATATAATAATTTTAATTTGTAGGATTTGCAGAGATAGAATCATTTACTGCTGATCTTCCTTCTGATATGACAGTATATCCTCAGGAATACAAACTGAGTTGTACTAAAATTGGACACTCTCGGTATGGTATTAGTATGAGCATTGGTAGTACTGCACCGGCTAGTTACACTAATTGTGATGATGATGATGATGATAATTGTCCTGGTACTGAGTTAGATAGCATTACCAACAGAATAAGATATACTGCTGATATCACATGGGATGGAATGACTGTCAGTAGTGGATCAATCAGTCAATCAACCACTGGAGATCAAATGTATCAGTGTGTACTGGATAATCCTAGTGCTGGTGATGATAGAACACGTACTTTAACAATAAAAGGTAATGACTACAGTGAATACATGTTCTATATAATTATGTATCTTTTTCTATTAGTACCAGCAACTGCTCCCTCTTCTCTTACTGAGGTCAGCAAGACAGCTACCACTATCACTGTCAGTTGGACTGCACTTGATTCATCTGATGCTGATGGATATGTAGTCAATGTCACTAGTGACACAGACACTGTGCAGACAGTACAGGTGGAGGGAAGTAGTAATAATACAATCACACTGAATGGACTGGGAGGAGGAACAACTTATAACATCACTGTCAGAGCCTATCAACAATTACTGGGACCTGCTAGTAATGCAATCAGTGTCTTCACTCATTGTCAACAAGAAGGTATTTCAAATTTTCAATGTAAATTAATGCATGTATGTATTGTTTTTTATAGGTATCTATTTAGCACATAATGGAAACTGTTATCCTAATGGATCATATTCTTGGGATAGTAGTGTCAATGCAGTTACTGAAGCTATATCATGTGTGTTACCTGGTACTAGTCTAACTACTGGTCAGTGGGTTAGAGTTGCTGATCCTGATGATCCTGTTGACTGTAACAGTAATAGTGCCAGTGATCCTTTTCGTTGTACTAATGTCACTTCACCTGATGCTACTATCAGTCTTTATCTTGCTCAGGGACTATCAGCAGCTCAAGAAGGCTGGTATAAGTGTTGTCTACCCACTGATTGTTCAGATCCTAACACTAACATCATCTTTGCTAATATATTCAGTAAGAGGAGACTATAATCACTTACTGATGTAATAATTTTCATTTGTATAGGATTTGCAGAGATAGAATCATTTACTGTTGCTGATCTTCCTTCTGATATGACAGTGTATCCTCAGGAATACAAACTGAATTGTACTAAAATTGGATTCTATCAGTACGGTATTAGTATGAGCATTGGTAGTACTGCACTGGCTAATTACACTAATTGTGAAGATAGATATACTCATTATTGTCCTGGTACTGTGTTAGTTAGTAGTACTTTCACAATAAGATATACTGTTACTATCACATGGGATGGAATGACTGTCAGTAGTGGATCAATCAGTCAATCAACCACTGGAGATCAAATGTATCAATGCAGGGTAGCAGATCATCCTGATGCTAATGCAATTAGAATACGTAATGTAACTATAAAAGGTAATGTCTGTAAATCCAAATAATTGTTATTACTAATAACATTAGTACCAGCAACTGCTCCCTCTTCTCTTACTGAGGTCAGCAAGACAGCTACCACTATCACTGTCAGTTGGACTGCACTTGATTCATCTGATGCTGATGGATATGTAGTCAATGTCACTAGTGACACAGACACTGTGCAGACAGTACAGGTGGAGGGAAGTAGTAATAATGCAATCACACTGAATGGATTGAATATAGACACAACTTATAGCATCACAGTCAGAGCCTATCAACAATTACTGGGACCTGCTAGTACAATCAGTGTACAGACCTTACCAGGTATTGCTACTGCACCTTTTAATGTTGTTGATGTATTTCTAGTTATTAATTCAATCAATTGGACACTAGTCTCATCCATTACACAACTCAATGATACTCAATATTGTATTGATTGTCTCACAACTACTGATATAAATCCTTCAACTGATGTTTACTGGTTAGTCAATGGAGTGATGAAGAGTAACTCAAACCATTCATCAATTGATGCCCTGACATACAACAACACACTACTGGTATATCCTGATCCACTGGGAGTGTCAGTTAATGTTACCTGTATAGCAATGATTGGAGGAGTCAACTACAGTCAATCTGTGATATTACATGGTATGATTATACTTTAATCAATAGTAGATACCTTTGTCTCTTTTCTAGCTCCTAGTGGTCCTCCAAATAATGTGAGAGGGTTTATATTAAATGCTACTAGTATCAAAGTGAACTGGACCAATTCATCAGAGACTAATGGATATGTGATTGAGTATACTACTGGAGGTGTAACCAGGAATGTAGTATCTACCAGTGAAGGTGAAATTGTACTAACAGATCTCTCACCAATGAGTACCTATACCATCAGTGTGTACTCATATATAGATCTTCCTTCAGTTAATAGTACAGTAACAGTGTTAAGATTTGATGGTGAGTTATTATCATTGAGAGAGTGTAATTGATATCTGTTGTAGTTCCTAGTCCAGTAAGTAGTCTCTCAGTATCTAATGTCTCAATCACTAGTATTACAGTGAGCTGGACTATTCCCAGTAGTGACAACTATGTAACATACTACACCATCTCCTATACTCCATCTTGTCCCCAGTTATCATCAGTGAATGAGAGAGTCTCTGTTGCTCCTCATCAGTCCACTACAACATACAGTTATACATTAATAGGTCTGTACAGTGGTATGAACTATACCATCACAGTGAGAGCTGGTAATGCACTAGGAGGATCTGAATTAATCATGAGCACATTGGTACAAACTGAAGCAAGAAGTAATGATACTTATTCTTTTAGTAATTAGTTAATTGTAATTTTCAGTTCCTAATGGTCGACCATCATCAATTCAAGTATTACTAGTTAATTCTACAGCTAATAGACTCACTTGGAATGAGGTCAATTGTTCTGAGCGTAATGGTCTAATCAAAGGCTATACAGTGATTATCAGTAACAGTAGTATCACATACAACCTCACCAGTACTGAGAGATATATCATATTGAATGATCTAGTATTTGGCACTGAGTATAACATCAGTGTAGCTGCTGTCAATTCTGTTGGAAGAGGTCCCTTCAGTGATCTTATTGTAGTAGAGATTGGAATAGGTATGTATTTATTATACTATATCAGTTCTGAGAGTATGTGTGTTTATTTAGTACCTGGTCCAGTTGGTTCAGTATCCAGTATCATGGACACTACATGGGCTGTTATCTCATGGAGTGTACCTAGTTATATTCCATCAGACTATCCCATTATCACATATGAGATAGGATATCATATCTTACAGTCTGGTGGTAGCTGTATGATGGTAGATGATGATGACTTTAATACTGAACTATTGCAACTACATAATTCAACCAATACTTATATCAACATTACTGGACTTAATGATATGTCTTACTTTATTTTTGGTGTACGTGCATACACTGATAATGGATATGGAGAATGGATAGTTATCTCTAATGAGACATTGAAACTACCACTGCAGTCATCATGTAACTGTGATACATCAGACAGTGTTATTGCTCTTAGTGTGTTAGTGGGTATATTGTGTGGT